AAAAAAAAAAAACAGTTTTAAATTATATCTGTTATTGGTAAAATTTGTTTCAGATGTCAACGCGGTTTTTCACAGAAGCAGAACAAGTTAAGGTTGTGCAATTTCAGTCACCTAAACGGTTCCAAGACGCATTTTCGTTGGCTAATGAACGACTAAATAATTATCTTGATGCTCGTTATGCTGAAAAACAGTGCCGGCAGTTCGGTAGAGGAAAAGTATCAAGTCAAAGTAAAAATGGCCTTCTAAAAGCTTCTTTAGATGACTTAGAAGGTAAGACTAATGCATGTAATTTTATTTAAAAAAACGTTTTTAATCAAAAAGCATTACAGGCACTGGATTTGGAGGATTGGACAAGAGAGCTCTTGGGGAAATTGAAGGTGTCGGTTTTGGCGGTCTGAAAAAGCGAATTATTCCGGGTAACGTTGATGGCACACGGCTAGACAGTGTCGAAAAGAAAGCGTTAGGCGACATTGAAGGCACCGGCTTCGGAGGTCTTGAAAAGAGAGCTCTTGGCGACATAGAAGGTATTGGATTTGGTGGCTTAGACAAGAGAGCCTTAGGTGACATTATCGAAGGTGCCGGTTTTGGGGGCTTGAAAAAGAGAGCTTTGGGAGATATCGAAGGCATCGGTTTTGGTGGTTTGAATAAGCGGGCGTTAAGAGACATCGACGAACTTAAACTTAACATGATGGACAAACGAGCATTGGGTGACATTGAAGGAATTGGTTTTGGTGGTCTGGAAAAACGAGCGTTGGAGGATATTGAAGGAACTGGCTTCAACGGCTTGGACAAAAGGGCTCTCGGTGACATCGAAGGCATAGGATTTGGTGGATTGGAGAAAAGATATCGTCATTTTAACAAAAGATCATTGGATCTGTTAGATCAAGCAGGTTTTGGAGGATTAGACAAACGAGCTAGCGACAACGATCGAAGTAGTCTTAGGCTTTTTAGTAAGTAAACTCTTTTCTGTTTTAATCTTCTGCTTTGTATTATCTGCTACCATTAGCAAGGTACAACATATAATCATACACAGTTCTTACCAATCACAAAGATCAAATCTCTTTTCATTAATCATTTAGGTATAGGTAACAGTAATTCTGCTACAGTATTATTAATGTACATTTGCACGAAATAGACTGTAAAAACCTAAAGAAAAAAAAATCGAAGTAAGCGCCTAATTGATTATAATGAGAAGTCATTTTCGTTGTTACGTAATAGCTGTTCAGCCCAAACGACTACTTTTCACGTGGTTAAAAACTTTTTGTTAAAAAATTGTAACAAAAAATTTGGCAAATAAAAAAGAACTTTGTTGCACTAAAGTTATTAATAGTTTTTGGTATTCTTTAAACAGAGGTGAACAGTATATCAGATAATTGAAATACAATAATCTTCGCTGTAACCTATGATATCACTGAATTTTTTAAAATGTTATTTTTCCTCATTCACCAGTAATTTAATGTGAAAACTAAATTGAAAACTCAAGTTTTTTTGCTGTTTCTTAGGCAAATACTTTTTTAATCTATCTTACTATAGATCAGAAATCAGTCAGTTTCTTTTCAAAATGTAACTGCAAAACTTGCTTATATTTTTAGCATTTTCAACTAAATTGAATATTGCCTGAGCTTCTTCTACAACATTTCCCTGATTTAACAGCTCCATTGTAATATCATCTAGCTTGGTTGTTTTTAACTAAAAATAAATAAGGTTGTGGTTTAGGCTCAAGACGTCTAAAGGATCATCTGAAACCGTTGAGAAGTCATTCATATGATGACGCTTAAAATCAACCAAAAAAGAATTTTAATAAATTGATCTGGCGATCTTCTTAATTTGTGTAAGTGTTGTTCTGATATGAATATATTAGTGATAACAGTTGTTTTTTTATACTTACCAAAAAAAATTGCATAATAGCTACCGTTCAAGTCAGTATTGTAAACCATATGAATATTGGCCATCTTGTATA